TATATATATATATATCTCAATAGAACTACTTGTTTGGAAAAGCAAATCTTGCTTGTAAAGACTCATATAACAGCAAGTTCACAGCAAAAGTGATTGGGCATAGATCTACATGACATTTCAAGCTATCAAAGCTATATGCTATATAAATGAAAGCTGTCAAAAGTCAACACTATTTACTGAAAGTGCACCTAGCTCTTTATCTCCTATACAAAATACTGGCAGGTGATTGGAGCAGGCACCACTGGTATGTCCTACTTCTTTACTTTCCACATGCTGTTTCTGTCTGTCTGTCTTACTTTTTCTCATCACTAAATGACCATTAATGTGTCTCTGTTTTTTTTCATCAAACAGAAAACAAAAAAACTAAAATTCTGGGCTCTCTTGAGAACTTCACTCTTAAGAATCTCCCAATTTACTACACTCTGTAGGTGTTAGTGATTGATTCTTCTTCTTTCCTTACCTTTTGTTCTTCTGTATAGCTATATTTCTTTCTCCGTGTTTCAGGCAGCAGTTCTCGTGCTAATGGCTTTATATAATATAAATGCTCAAACTAAACTTTCGACAATTTATACACAATAACTTTTTAAGATTTGAGGTATCCACAGACCTTTTGCTTAGAAACAGGAGCTGCTTAAACCCAGCACAAAAGGAGCACAGGACCGTAACAACAATCAAGTCACCACAAAATGCTTCTGAATACCCAACCCCAATTCACCCCCCCCCCCTTCCCCATCCCCCAAGCCCTTTCTTCTCCATCCCCTCTACATCTTGAGTTCGTAAGTTCCCTGTTCAAGAATAGCTCTTTTCATATTTCAATGATATAACAAAATACAATGGAGCTATTGACAAAAAGTAATTTTTTTTATACCTCTTTTTAAAGACCTTGAATTTCCATTAAAATAAATATATAAAATGGATCAAAGGGCAGTCATACTGTAAAATTTCATAGATGTGCTATATGGCACAGTGTAACTGTGTGCACAAACAGATGGATGGGACAAAAAGAAGGTCCTTGTGATACTCCAGAAGACGAATCTTAGCGGGCAGGCAACAAGACGAATAGAGAAGAAAAAAGGAAAAGAAAAGGGAAAAGAAGAAGAGGAATGGAAAAAAAAGAGGAAGGGAAAAGAAAAAGAGGAATAGAGAAGAAAAAGAGGAAGGGAAAAGAAAAAGAGGAATAGAGAAGAAAAAGAGGAATAGAGAAGAAAAAGAGGAAGGGAAAA